TTCTCAGACAGATAAATGCATTTGCTCATAGACATGGACACAGGAACCCCATGTAAAAAGCTTCAGGAGACTAATAATGTGGGCAGAAAATTAAGGCACCTCATAAAAGGTTTTTACTAACAAGGGAACAGATCACATCAACTTGGAAAGGTTAAAGAAAGCAATTTATAGACACTAATTAGGGCCTCTTTTTAAGGTGCCTTTGCAAGTGACAAAGTTGGTTTTATTCCAGAAAGGTGCAAAGGGAGCGCAGTAGGAGCTGCCTGGGGATGGCTCCTAAAAGGGTTTACCACGCTCATCACTACCACACATTTACAGGAGATTTAAGGGTCAGCACGAAGGGAAACGTGGGGGATGTATTTACACGAATAAGCCGTGCAATACTTATACCCTCCTCCAGGAAATCATCTCCACGCTGGCGCAGGACCAGAGAGCCCCAAGCTTGCGCCCGCTGCTCTGCTAACGGGAACCGTTTTGCTGGATGCCAAGTCCGAGGTCATCAAACGTGAGTTTTCATTCACTTTCTGGCTCACCAGCTGTAAGGATCTGCATGGTTAAACTTCTGCAGAAACGCTGTTTTATGCAACACTCTGACTCTGACAAAGTTTTGTTTGCAGGATGAAGTGCCAGAAGGTGGGAGCTGAAGGACTTTGCAGGGATGCTTCCCGGAGCCACGCCAGGGGGTCAGCAGGCACCTGCGGGGAGGCAGCTCTCATCCAAGAGCAGGAGAAACCAGGGCACCTCCAGCGCTGCTGGAAGGTGAATCGGTCCTTCAGGGGCTTTATTTCTCTTTCTTTTTAATTTTTCTTTGGGGGTTTGCTGAAGGGAACACAGCTCACCCCCCAGGTAACGCGAACACCTCCAGCTTCTGTCATTGAAGTGGGAAGTCCCTCTGCAAACAGGCCAGGTCTGCAAAGGGACTTCCAGGCAGCAAATGCCACACATCTGTACAGGCAGCCACTTTACCCACCTCTGGGATCTCTTTTTTCAATTTACAGAACACCAGCTCCTCTCCCCGCGCTCTGGGGCTGCTTTCATAGGAGCTCAGCGATGTAGAAAGACCTGGACACGACAGCCCTGCAGCAGCCGGGGCTGCTTTTGGGGACAAGGTGCCTCCCTGGGAACGGCGGGACCAGCCTCCTCCCCACGGTTTCAGTCCATCACCTTGCAGGCCAGCCTCGAAGGGCCACAGCCTTCAGCAGCCCTCAGAATTTCTCTGCAGTTAGTACGGTAGCTTATAAAGTATTGTTTTATTGCATTATAAAGCAAGTCTCCTTCACAGCCATTAGAACAGCCCAGAGGTTGTATACAACACTGCCACTCCCTAAAACTTCTGTATGGATTGAGTGTCCTTCCCTTTGCACCGTCCCCCTGCAACCAGCTCAGATTGTGCCTAGAGCTGGGTGAAGACTTGAACATATTTCCACTTAAAACGGTGATTGTGTGTGATGCCCCTCCACAGCATGCCCTTCCCAGCTCCTCCGCAGGGGAGAGCGGAGCGGGTCCAGTGTGGCAACTGGGAGCGCTCTGCTCTCACCTCAGAGCTCACCCATGAACTGTCTGTAAATATTGCAGCTTTCCAAACCAAAGGTCCCAGCAGGCACGCTGCAGCCCAGGGGAACCGCTGCCCTCGGTCTGGGCTCGCTGCCCATCACCTACTTCTCCCCAGCGTGACTGTCCGCTCACATCTGCCACCAGCGTGTTTGCGGTGTGCTCCCTACCCTGGTTCTGTCAGCAGAGATCCAAAGGAGCTTTTAATAGCAGCTTGTTTGTTAAACCTGGGATATTTTGACAGATCTGTTGCAGAAGATGGGAAGAGCAAGCAGGCAGGAGCCATCACCCCTTTGCAGCTCCTGCCCACGCTGGGGCTGATGCTCCCTAGGAGCCCTGGCCTTCAGTCCTGCTTCGCCACCACGCTGACACAGCAATTCTGCAACACGCCCGATCACCCATGGACTCATCAGCCGTAGACGAACCTGGATTTCTTACATGGGAAAGAAGTCCTCTTCTCCGAGGCCGTCACATTTGCAGAGCCAGAGAGGTCACAGGCTAGGTGGGAAGCCGGGGTGGCTCAGCCCGGTGGCCGTGCCATCGATGGCAGAAGGAAGCGGGGACGAGGGAAGGTGCTGCAGATAGCTGCGGGCGCACAGGAGCTGAGCAAGACAAGCGCGGCTCTTTCAGTTACACCCAGGCAAGGCGCAGGCAAAGGACAGGGAAGTCAGCACGTCCAGGTCCTCAGGGACACAGGGCTGCTCCCTGAAGAGCAAGGCAGGGTTTTGCAGCCACCGACGCCATCCTACAGGGCTCGACCCACCGCCTCCATCAGGAGGTTACGCCACAGCGCAAGACACCTTCTGGACAAAGAGCCAACTCGCTATTCAGCTCCGCTTTCTTTTCCCCCGATTTCATTGCACAGCGCCTACTACCATCCCTTCTCCCACTTCAGGAGTGAGAACGTTAAAAATAAATACAAAAGTACAGAAAAGTAACAAAGAATGGAAATGGCACACCCGCTCAGAGGTAGCTCGGAGGTGACGCGTGCCAGCTGCTCCCCCAGCTCTCTAACCTTCCTCAAGCTAACTTCTCAATCATTTATATTTCACCTCCCCCTCCACTTCCCACATGGAAACAAAAGATGATTCATACACCAAAATAATCACCTGGGACCTCCAAAAGCCCACGAATTCCCTCACTTTGGCCTAGGGCACTCGATACGGAATTTTCCCAGTTTGGTGTCTGGGTTTGACTCTGTCCCCTCCTCCCCTTTATACTGGTCCCACAGCACAGAGGGGGCAGAGCAGGGACAGGACCTGCCCGCACACTAGTTTTAAGACTTAAATTAATAGACCATAAAACAAATCAAATTTAAAAACTGGAGGCATCTGAAAAATCCAGCTACACAGGGGAAGCACCCGTGGCAGCGGGGATACTTCCCCTGCTCTCTCCGGCGGGCGGAGGGGTTGATTTTTCCACCGAGCAGGGAAGTGCCTTTATCACGTTTGGTGTAACCAGCATCGCATCGGAAAGAGCGACCGATGGTTAATGCCCGCTACCTGGGCTCGCCTGTGGAAAGAGATCGACAGGATTGTAGTACCAAAAGAGACCTGCAGCAATGGATTTTCCCTTGCAGGAGGAAAAGAGTGAAGCTCTGAGCTGACAGCTCAACTCCTGCACCCCCAACAGCAAAGTATCCATGTCCATATGTGGTGCAAGACCGTCGTCCACAGGACCTCTGGCACTAGCACGTTAATGCCGCTGCCTGAACACACGCCGGCCCTGCCTGCTCACTGCCGTCAGGGTGCACAACCACCCTCCACCAGTGCTGTGTCTGCAAACATCTCTGCCATTTGTGCCTCTCTCACAAAATAAGAAAGTATTTGTAAGGCAGACAGTGAAGGAGCTTTCCTCCTTCCAAACTGCCCAGGTCCAAAGCCAGAAAGTGCAGAAAGCAAAACTACAAGGTTGGGCCTCTCACAGACCTGTTGGCCCCATGGCAGCCTCCAGCCCAAGCGCTGAGCGGAGGCACCGTTGCCGCGTGACAAGGTGGATGACGAAATGCTTGTTATCCACCCCAGCGCTGTGACCTGTCACTTACAAGTGGGCAGCTGGGTACAAAATCCAAAGCCAAACCCTGCCAAGTATCTGCCAGCACAGGCAGAGGCGATACAAGTCATAAATCTGTCATCTCAGGCAATGCCAATAGACACAATTTCACAGCAGGGCTCTACTTGGCTTCACTGTTGGGGCTCTCCTAGAAGACTACAACAGCTCAGAGTGAGAAACACAGGTTCACTGGAGCAAAGAGCTGGAAGCAACTGTTAAACCTTTAAACCATGGAAGAAACAAATAAAAGCCTGCAGTTTCCAGGGCATTATCACGGGTCTGCTCTCCCAGAAAGAGGCTGCAAATGCATGCAAAACCACAGACACGCAGCAGGGCTTGGCAAACGCTTGTAACACACCGCCCAGGCAGGCATCACTGTCCAAAGTGCTCCACTTCCAAACAGGTGCAAAACACGCACACGGGGACAAGTTATGGTGCACAAAAGGCCTCCACAGAAACAGGGACATGACTTTGGGGAGGCTCCTCACAAGACAAGACAAGGTCCTTGCCTTCCACCCACATACCAGGCAAGTATATACTGCTTCTTGCAAAAGATGTGGAAACTAGAGCAACATTCACTAACAGAGATGCAACTCAACTGGCCAGGTTTCCCGAGCATCTCCCTTGTCTCTGCCATGCCGAAGGAACAGGAAGATTTCACTACCTGGCAGAGCAGCAACCCCAAAGGCTGCTCCAGGTCTCCTCCAAGAAATGTTTTTACTTCTCAGCAGAGAAGTAAGCTTACACGTTTTCCCCTGTGCTGAGGCTAATGGGGATTGTCGTTTAGACATTTCCTCCCCCCTCTTCAGATTTTGGAGCAAAAGCAAAACACTTTGATCCACTTTGAAACGGTGCAATTAAACCAATTTTTGAACAATTTGCAGTTCTTTTCTATAGGAAGCATTAAGCAAAGCCACGCTTTTCAGTATTTTGAATAGGGAAAAAATTCACACATCCATGTAGCTCCCAATCCATCCCCCCAAGCAGGGAAGCTGAAGAGATTTACACTGACATGTAAATCCCTGTGACAGACTTCTATAAAACCACTAAAAGAGGCACACCCAGAAGGCAAAGAAGCGTTTCACACCTTCTGTAAGTAGAAAGTGTGAAAAGGAAAGAGATGAAAGCCGCCTCCCTTTCCCCAAATCTCCATCATAACTCCTGCCCTATCCTGGCGTTCGTGCGCCCACTCCTGATATCAATCTAGGTAACGCTGGTGTCACACAGTGCTTCAAGGACCCCATAGCTGTATCAGAGATGGCAACACTCTAGGGACCAACACCACGCCAAGGGTAGTCCAGTCCATGGATCTCAACACAGGTGCTTCTGCACACCACAGCGCTACATGGACCTCGCATGTAGCCAGACAAAGAAATTGCCAGATACAAGTGCCGTACCTTCCTCCAAGTCGTTCCTCAAAGAAGCCTCCAGCAGAGCAACGCTGGCTTCAAAAGACACTTTCTTTCGGTTAACAGCATTTCTCTTCTTTTCATGCTTCCGCTTCTTGTGCTGCATCTCCTTCTCATACTGTGCCCATTTCTTCAGCTGCTGAGCCCTCCGCTTCTGGGCCGCCCGCAGCCTCTCCAGTGTGGGCACCTTATCCAGCAGCTGCAGCTCTGTCAGGAGGTCCACGTGGGCATCCATCGCTTCTGCCGAGAGAGAGGAGGTGAAGGATGTCCCAGCAGGAAACAATGTCCCACTGCAGGTCCTCTGGATCGCAGCCGCCTGCTGCTATACCAGCATCTCGAGGCCAAGCTGGGAAGGGCCCATCGCAGTGTCCGGTGAGAATATGGTAGAAACCTGAAATGAGGAGGAAAGTGTGAGGGATCAAGTCTCATCACCCCGTGCAGACAAGCAACTAAGACCAGCCCGTTGGAAAACAGACAGGCAACACCGACCATCTCAAAAGGCAGCTCACTTAATTGCACTTTAATTGCTTGGTTGTTCTCACTGGCCTTTGTGACTCCACCCTTCACCCCTCCGAACACCCAAGCAAAACCCTTTTGATTAAGCAGTAGTTATATTGTGCAATCCATTCACGTCTGCAGTTCAAGGTAGCCCTCTCTTATGAGCAGAAGAAAGTCTTAATGAGCAAAGATCTTCCATAGTATTTCATACCATTCGTCAGACAACTCAGGAGATATTCAAGTACTGAGACACATCCTTCCCTCCAGCTGGCCCCTTCCAGCGTAACCATCACCCCTCGTTACAAGTGTCCCCAACACCGCAGCCAGGACTGGGCTGCACTGACGCACACCAGCAGCCGCCTCCCTGGAGCATTTTGGTCTGAGCAGCAAAACACAGGGCAGAGGGGACCAAGACTGTAGTGGCAGAGCCTGGGGCAGCCACAGACACCAGACGAGGCCATCCCAGCGCAAATAACCCAGAAGCCAGAGGCTGGAGATGCATGAGGCTACCCGTCCGGCACCCAGAGGCCAGGCAGGTTTTCCCAGAGGAGCATCATCTACGCTCTTCTACTTCATCCATCGGCTCCTTCTCACCCCAGCCCTAGCCGAGGGCAGACGGATAAGACGTGGCTCCCAGGGAGGTATTACTAATACTTAAACCACCTCAGCTACTTAAAAATATGGGGGTTTGTGTTCATTTCTCTCTTCCTTCAGGTTTTTTTCTTCACCACAGGCTAGCTCATTCTGGTTTTGCTGTACAAGCTCCACAAGCACAGCAACGAGAGCAGTTAAATCACAGCCCCAGACTCTCTCACATGTGGCCATGACATCAGAGACCTCTGAGCAGCGCTACCCACGGAGCGATCGACCGGGAGACCCATGGGCAGCCGCCCAATCATCTGCTACACAGAAGGAGGAAACATGTCCCAGATTTAAGGAGCGGTCCAACAGGGAAAGGTGCCTTTGAAATAAAGCCAATGTCACGAGCAAATTGCATGAGTCCTTTCCAAATAGACCCGTGCAAAGCACATCGAATGGCAAGGTGAGCGTGCCAAATCAAGGTAAGCTGCAAATAACCACGTATGAGACAAGAGCTCTTATGGTTCAGCCAGCTTGGAGAAGAAAAAAAAAAACAAACCACAAACAAAAGAGTTGATGGGGAAGGGAGACTGTGGAGAGCTTAAGTATTCACAAGCACCTGAGAAAGCCCCAACAGCGCAGCTGGAGCCATTCCTTGCTCAACTCTCCTGCTCCAAAAAGGAGGAAGCAACAGTCTCGTAAGCAATGGATGCAAAGCATCTATGGGAAAAATAGCAGCAGAGGAGAGGTAGCTAAACCCAGGTGAGAGACGTGGTGAGGATACCAAACCTTACGCCATCCAGCCAAGCCAAGAAAAGCCACCATTCATCCCTCTTCAGAGGGCAAAGCAGCCCAGGCGGGGAGGCATTACTCTGAGGAGCTCTAGGGAAATGTCCACGCCATGCAGCACATCCACCATGTCCCAGTGAACTTCGCAAGGTTGAGACATCCACTCCTTCCAAACGTTGCTACAGACCTTCCACAGGGGTTTGACCTTACCTATAAATATCTTGACAGACTGACAGTGCGGCACGCCATTTCCTCTGCAAGATAATTGGTTTGAGAACTGAAAACAAACAAACTTCAGCCAGAGCACACAGGCGGGTCCCGGGCAGTGGCTTTAACCAGTAAATGGCCAACAGAAGGCCAAGGGCAGCTTCAGCAGCACCTGCAAACCTTATTTTGAGGGTTTCAGGATAGACCTGAACAAAAAAACCCTGCTCCATCCCATAAGAACTTAAGATTGCAAAAAAATGCTTTAGTTCCACATAGGGACAAACCGGAATCCTTGCAAAGTTTTTCATAAGAGAGCTACTACCTAGAAATTCAAACACTTGCCTGAGATGGAAAATACCAACTCATGACTTTAGCATGCCACTGGAAAGCCAGGGAAGTGCGCCACGGCTCCTCCATGGCACGAGAGCCCCGCGCAGCTCTCCCTGACCCCTGCCCGCAGCCCCCACGAGCAAGGAGTCACCACGGCCCCCAGAAACCCTGCCGACAAGAGCGGCGTAAATGCAGCCCACTTTCCAAAAAGCTTTTATTTTGGGGCAGATGCATTTTCCAAGCACAGGCACTTGGCTGGAAAGCTCTTCTCCTCCTCCTGTGAACTCAGCTCCGCACAGCACGGCTCCTGCCCCTCGCAGGTAAGGTATCTTTTTTGGCGATCTCTGCTCCAGTAACACAGGCTGCAGATCTGAAGCCCCGTTTACAATACCTCGAAGGAGGGGAGAGAAGGGCAGGAAATGCCTCTCGGCATACCACACGCGGCACTCCCACCCTGCTCCTTTTCCAGGCCACTTCTGCCATTGTTCGCTGAGACATGAACAAATATTTTCCAAAACACACCTGAAGTAGAAACGAGGACCTAATTCTGCAGGTTTGTTGAAGCAAAGAAACCTTATTTCAGCATTTTCCTGTTTACCCAAAAAACAGCTGGAAGCTTTCTTGGTGGTACTAGGACTGCACCTTGGAAAAAGCAACAGAACATTGATTTATAAGGAAAGGAGAAGCGTGGCTTGCTCTGCTTGCCCATGTTTCAGCTTTCCTGCATGCACCTCGTCCTTCAGCAGCTCCTCTGCTCTCACAACAGAACAAAAGGAAGATTCGAGTGGCCTACAGAGGAATGAAATGGAGAGGGGAGATCCACGAACATCAGGAGACATCTTCTGGAAGTACCAGACACCAGCGTCTCCTCAAACCAACCAGCAAATGAACGTCTGAAGGAGCAGAGAGGTCACTCTGAGAGGTCTTCCTGAAGGGGACACAGCTCAACTTCTCCCAGACTTAGGAACAAGTCCCCTAGCACCCTCCACAGACCCCAGAGCCTCAGAAAGACTTTGGCTCCATCACTCCAGCTGCCTGTTTTCTGATGACCTAGTTTCTTCCCTGTACCAAAAAAATGGCACATTGACTTCTCATTGCACAAACTAGTCAGTCTAACTACAGCACAGTTTCAGACCCCAGCATTTGTTTACCTGCAAAGTGACACAGAAGCTGGCTGTGTGGGTGTCTGTGGTTTGCAAGGCATCACATTTTGGTTTCTGTTTTATTTAAAGAAAAAGAGAAAAAAAAAGAGTGCTGTTCCTTGTGTTCGACCGAGCTGAGTTTCCGTGAGCTCAGCAGATCTGCCTGCCGCCATGCCGAGAGCATCCTGCCAGACGCACGCGGCCCCCAGCCCCACGGGGACAATGGGCGACTCTATTTCAGGGGCCAAAAGGAAGGCGAGACGCTCGCTATTGTATCACGCTCGTGCCATCGCCGTCCTCTTGGCACTGCAGCAGAGAAAGACCCGCTCCAACTGTGTCAAAGATCAGTCCCTACAAAGGGCATGCAAGTGTTGGCAAACACAATCTTTTTTTTTTTTTTTAAAAAAGTTTGCATTTCCTGTACATTTTGTCTCACCTTGGTACAAGACTCATCTCACTAAGCTCAAAAGGACTTTCAGGGCACCGGTTACTCACTTGCAAGATGAGACGGTGATTCTGTGAATTGGGAGTTTACTGAGTCAGTGGCTGCAACAAGCTGCCTACCCTGTACCACCAGCTCTGCCGGGAGGGGTCCTTCGTTTCCTGTACACACACTTCTTTCCATTTCACACTTAGAGCTTGGCACTTGCATCCCGCAAAGGAGAAAACCGAGTGCGCTTATTTTCCTGTTCCAGCACACACTCAGAGCTGCCCCCCTCAACCTTCCTACAAAGCATTCAACTTGCAGACATTGCCATAATATTGCTGAGCTTGGAGCTGTATCCATTAAAAGAGCCGCGTTGCTGAGTGATGCTGGAGAGCCTCCTCGTCTCCCCACCAGACGATGAAGCTGGAGCTAAGACCGGCAAATCCTCCATCACATCTCCACAAGGCACTACTTAAAGCACAGCATGACACTGAAGCAGAACACAAACGCTGAGAAGAGTCCTTCACTTAAGTGTCATCAATTGAATTCAGTTTTATTCCACTTAAAAAAAAATAAACACAAACCATGGAAGAGCAACCCTTGAACGGGACACCTTGAAATGAAGTAGTTCAGCAACTAGGGAATTCTTCTAAGTTGTGCATCTTTCAAGCAAAGGTAAAATTCAAGACCCAGGTATATGAGCAGCCACTTCTGAAGTCAAGGAGATCATTCTCATTCACTGGATTGCTTGTGGGGAGGCACCTGCAGGATTGGGCCCAGCCAATTAGGTGAAGCATCTGCGTTTGCAGCATAAAGTCAAGTCAGTGGCATGAAGAGTGACAGAAATAGCCCTCTCCTCCCCTCCCCAAGCTAATCTTCTCTCTGCTGGAATTGGAAACCAAGCACAAAAGCCTATAGCAGGGATCTGAGCACATAAGCAGCCTGCAGAGGAGGTGGCTGCCTGATTTATTTATTTCATTAAGAGCCAACTCCTGCACCACGGCAAGGTGAGGAATTGCCAAATTTACCCCTTCTGCTTCCTACACGGGCCAAGGCCAATCTGTACTATTCCTGCCCCACGAAATGCTAGATGACCATCGCAGCCCTTTTGCTGAACCCATCCTCCAGCAACGAGCCCCAGTGAAGAATTCACAGGCTTCTCTTTCAGGCATCACCTTCAGGATTGTCACTGCTTGGTGATACAAAGCAGACGAAGACGTACGTTCTGTATTGCTGTTTCTGCTGTTGGCCAGGATCTCCCCA